GAGAGGAAAAGCAAGAGAGAGGCAAGAAGAGAGGAGCAAGAAGGAGAGGAGCAGAGAGAGAGAGAGAGCAAGAGAGCGAGCAAGAAGAGAGAAGAGAGCAAGAGAGAGAGAGCAAAAGAGAGAGCAAAGGAGGAGAGCAATAGGGAGAGAGAGCAAAGAGAGGAAGGAAGAGGAGAGAGAGCAAAAGAGAAGAGAGCAAGAGAGAGAGAGAGCAAAAGAGAAGAGAGCAAGGAGAGAGCAAGAGAGGAGAGGGCAAGAGAGGGAAGCAAGGAGAGGGAGCAAGAGAGAGAGAGGAGAGAGCAAGAGAGGAGAGAGCAAGAAGAGAGCAAGAGAGAGGAGCAAGAGGAGAGCAAGAGAGAGAGCAAAAAGAGAGGAGGGGAGAGAGAGAGCAAGAGAGAGAGAGAGCAGGAGAGAGAGAGAGCAGGAGAAGGAAGCCCAAAAGAGAGAGAGAGAGCAAGAGAGGAGCAAGGAAGAGAGCAAAAGAGGAGGGAAGAGGGAGAGAGAGCAAGGAGAGAGCAAGAGAGAGGGAGCAAGAGGGAGAGAGAGCAAGGAGAGAGAGAGAGAGCAAAAAGAGCGAGAGAGAGCAAAAAGAGAGAGGAGAAGAGAGAAGAGCAAGAGAGAGAGAGAGCAAGAGAGAGAGCAAGAGAGAGAGCAAGAGAAGAGAGAGAGCAAGAAAAGAGGAAACAAAAGAGAGAGGAGAGCAAAAGGGGAGAGAGAGAGCAAAAGAGGAGAGAGAAGAGAGGAGAGAGCAAAGAGGGGAGAGAGAGCAAGAGAGGAGGAGCAAGGGGAAAAAGAGAGCAAGAGAGAGAGAGAGGCAAGAGAGAAGCAAAGAGAGAGAGAGCAAAGAGAGAGAAGAGCAAGAGAGAGAGAGAGAGCAAGAGAGAGAGAGCAAGAGAGAGGCAAGAGAGAGGCAAAAGAGAGAGCAAGAGAGAGAGAGAGCAAGAGAGAGAGAGAGCAAAAGAGAGAGAGAGAGCAAGGGAGAGAGCAAAGAGAGAGAGAAGCAAGAGAGAGAGCGAGAGAGAGAGAGAGAGCAAGAGAGAGAAGAGAGGAGAGGAGAAGAGAGAGAGAGAGAGAGAGAGAGAGAGAGAGGGAGGGAGGGAGGAGGGAGAAAGGGAAGGCAAATAGGGGGAGAAGGGGGGGAAAGAGGGGGGGGATGGAAGACGGGGGGGAGAGAGGCAGGGGGGGGGAGAGGGGAGGTTGGGGGAAAAAAGGGGAGGGGGAGTAAAGGGAGGGGGACAGATGTTAGAGGGGAGAGATGTTAGAGGGGGGGAGGTGTTAGAGGTTTAAAAGAGTTAGAGGGGAAAAATGGAGAGGGGAAAAGAGAGAGAGGATAGGGAAGGGGAGGAATAGGTAAAGGTGAGGGGGTAGGATAATCCATTAGTGTTTTAAAGAGGGGGGGGGGGGAAAGGTTCGATGGTCAGTTTCGGACGGTGTGAAATCCTGTGTATGTGTGTTTGCGTGTTTTACTACGCACAAGTCTTGTTCCGGTGGTATGTTGTGTGATGTGTGTTGTGTGTGGTTGTTTGTGGTGTGTGTATGGTGGTGTTTTGTGTGTGTTTTGTGTTGTGTATGTGTGTGTGTAGGTATGTGTATGTGTAGGGTGTGTGCGTGTGCGTGTGCGTGGCGTGTGTGGTATGTGTGTGTGTGTGTGTGTGTAGTGTTGTGTTTGTGTGTGTTGTGTGTGTGTGTGTGTGTGGTGTTTATGGTGGGTGGTGTGTGTGTGTTGTGTGTGTTGTTGTGTGTTGGTGTGTGTGTGTGTGTATGTTTTTTTTGTTGTACTCACCTAGTTGTACCACTAGTTTAGGTTGAGGGGTCGAGTCCAAATCCTGGCCCCCCCTCTTTATGACGCTACTAGGGCACTTCCCTGAACCATGAGCTTTATCGTACCCCTGCTAAAGTTGTATGGATCCCGCCTCCCAAAACATCGCTTCCAAACTATTCCACTTCCTGACTACTCTGTGTGTGTGTGTATACCTATTTTTTCTCACCATTGTGGTTGCAGGGGTCGAGTCTTAGCTCCCGGCCCGCCTCTTCACCGTTGCTACTGGGGGCCCCCCTTTTCCCCCCTCCTTTTCCTTTATCAAAATTCTTTTAAATGTGTATGGTTCCTGCCTCCCTACGTCATTTTTTAGGCTATTCCCCGCCTTAAAACTCATGACTAAGAAATACCTTACATCTCTCGACTCATTTGTTCTTAACTTCCAATTGTGGCCCCTTTTTTTCGTGTCCCCTCCCTAAAAAAATCCGTCTTTTTCCACCTTTTTATTCCACGCAGTATTTTTTATGTCGTTTTATGTCTCCCCCACCCTCCCGTCCCCCGTGTCGTCAGCCGATTTCCTTTAAACTTTTTTCATTGGGGCATTCCCCTTCTCTGGAACTAACCCTTTTTGCAAACCTTTTGTACTTTCTCTAGTTTCTTGACGTCTTTATAAAGGGGGGTTCCAAAACAGTGCTGCATACTCCAGTATGGGCCTGACATACACGGTGTACAGTGTCTTGA